TCCTCTCCCCAGCAAAGGAACAGAGGGAGGATGCCATCTAGCTTTCTCAGAAAAGAAACTGTGTGGGGGAACACTCCTGGGCACAAACGACCAAGGACAAGGCTAACTAACCGTGCAGGCTCAATGATGCACTGGAGGAAAATGAGGTCAGGACAGTCCACAGGACCACCGCACAGCGCACGGAAGATGCACAGATGTCTCTTGCCTGCCACCCTCCTCTTGTCAACCCTCATCTCACCTAGGATGGTTTCAGAGTCCTGAAAATTGATATGCTGATTAGCAGTGCAGATCTTACCTGACTTGTCTGGCCAAGGGCAGAATGGGGGAGAAATGGACTTCTCTGCCTTAGAGATCATTTCCCAAAACAAACAGCTGATTTCATGTAATAAGTCATGAGATAAACACAGCAAGGAAACTGGAAACATTTCCACAGAAAAGCAAGGGCGGTTAAAGCACTTTAGACTGAGTTTGTCGACAAATTCCAGGTATGGATAAACCTGTTTACACTCAAGAATGGACATGAATACTTGGCCTTAAAGGCAAAGCATTCAAAGTGAGGAAGAGGTGGGCTAAGTAGAGAACTGGGGATGGGGATGGGAGGCGCCTTGAGAAGAAGATCCCACAAGCAAGAAACAAACACTGAAAGGGACACGAGAAGAAAAGCTAGACGGGGGGTCAGATAGCAGGTTCTAAGACAGATGGGACTAGAAAGGTATTCAGCTGAGGATTGCAGACACATGAGGACTGCACACACACACACACACACACACACACACACACACACACAAGGACTGCACACACATGTTGATGAAGTCAGGCTAGCCGTGAAATATAATAAAAAGCTACAAGCACCTACATAGGTAACTTGATGAGAACTTAGAAATTCATGTTTTTAAATACTAAAAAGCATCTGAGCACAGGGTAAAAAAGAAAATCTTCAATGAAGCATTATATAAGCAAGCTTTTAAAAGACAGAACAGAAACATAAATTTATAATTAGCTTCCTATGAAAAGACCAATGCTTTCGAGATGACTTCAGAACTAAAAGTTACATAAAGTGTCCAAAAAAATAGTCTAAGTGGAAAATAAAGTTACAACAATAGGAACCACTAATATTTATTAGGAATTTTTTTAAAGTCTCTGTCAGGCTAGGAATATACACAGGTGTGTGTAGTATAGGACTTGTCTAGAAGCCCTGGGTTCGATTCTCAGCTCTGCAAAACAAAATAATAAAATGTGTCAAGCATCATATCTATGTTAATTCAATTCTCATAAAAATCCAGCAGAACAGGTCCAATGTTAACTCCATTTGACAAATGCACTGCAACACAGAAAAATTAAGTAACTTGCCTAAAATAATGAAAATTGTCAGGATTTGAACCCAGGAAGCCTGGCCCCATACTCAGCCTTTCCACACCTGGCCGCCCTGACAGTAAAAAGGAACAACAACAAAGTGGTACCCACCAGGCGTTGGTGGCGCATGTCTTTAATCCCAGCACTCGGGAGGCAGAGGCAGGTGGATCTCTGTGAGTTCAAGACCAGCCTGGTCTACAAGAGCTAGTTCCAGGACAGCTTCCAAAGCCACGGAGAAACCTTGTCTTGAAAAACAAAAAATAAAATAATAATAATAATAAAAGTGATACTGACAGCAATACTAGTCACTTAAAGGAAAACCAACTTTTCAATGCTGACAGAGATGGCTGATTCATATGAAAAAGAATCAATAGTCTGGAAATTCTCAGAGCTTTTAGTCCCTGCCCTATAACTGACTTTCAGGACTGCCTAGTAGGTGGGTGGAAGGACGGACAGAGGGACAGACGGACAGACAGAATGAGCAAAAGTATCAAGCAAAAAGGAGACAAAAGGAAGCAGTCAAGCAAACAGTAGCAAGAAACACTGCCAGTACTGCTATGCACAGTTGCTTTAGAAATGAGAATTTGGGTTGGGGAGATGGTTCAATGTGCAAAGATGCTCACTATCAAGCCTGGTGACCTGAGTTCAATCTCCATGAGTTTTCCTCGGATCTCTGCATGTGCGCACACAACACATAAACAAAGCAAACAAGCAAGCAAGCAAACAAAAACATATCAACGTAAGAAGAAAATAAAATTTGTTCCAAAGTGATGATTGATTCGATTAGTGAAAACACTTACAATGCCTTCAATACAATCTAGTGCCTGTGAAGCAGTAGGTGACGGCAGATGACTGTCCCGAGCTGCACGCAGGCCTGCAGGGCAGCACACGGGATATCGACCAGCGCTCACAGCTCATCATGATGTAAGGTATACTCAACTCTCTCATACCCTCCACGAAACATTACATCTGATCTCAGTGTACACCTGCCGCAATGTCACAGTAACTATGCTCTGTCCTCCTCCCAACACCCACATCCGGGAGCATGCTCCAGACCTCATACAAACAGATTTAACAGGTATGCAACTCTTATCCAGCTGCACTCCACAGACAAGCTGGACTGGGCCCTTCCTGCGTCTCCTTTCTGGGGCTCTGTGTGTGCAAACAGGAGAAGAAATGATCAAAGAGGCTGAACCCAGCAAACTACAGAGTGATTTTGGGTGTTTGGGGCACAGGCAAAACCCAACAACAGTAATAAAAAGCTCTCACCAGTCTAATGTTAAAAATGAATTTTAGAAATCAAATAATTTTGAAAACAAAAATTACTACAGATGGGATGAATTCATTGAATTTAAGCAATCCCAATAAAATTTCTCTTACTTTTTAGAAAATATGTGTCAATGAGTAAGATGTAAACAAATCTTAAGTCTTAGTTCTTAAGAGCTGGCAATAAAGCACTGGCCAGCTCTATGAAATTTTATAAGAGTTGAAATTTTTAAAGATACCAAAGGGTGAATAGAACTAATCTATGTAATCAGAATGCTGCTGGGTGCTCTCTCTCCCCTCTCCTTTCCTCTCTGTGTGCACAAACCTCTGTCTGTCTGTCTATCTGTCTGTCTCTGTCTGTTCTGCCCCACTCACCGTGTATGAGGGAGAGAACATGATGTTAGTCTAAAGCATTGCTAATATTTCCAGTTAGAAAGTCAAGATACATTATATAACACTTTGGAATTGCAGATTGTAGATTCTCTTGTGCTAACTGGATCCAGTCAACCCCCGTTGCCATGGCAGCACTTGTCTATGGAGGACAACCGGCTTCTCCTATGACCATGGTAGTTCCCCGGTTTATTTATTCCCTGTCCTCAAGCCTGAATCTCTCCCCTGGCCAACTATGTGAGACTGTCACTAGTGAGAAAAAAATATTCCCCGATGAATATGATATTCATCAATTCCCCGATGAATATGATAGTCATCAATTCTCCTCAAATTATCTTTAAGTGTTCATGTCAACCTATTAAAATCTAAAGATACTTCTTGATGAGGTAGAAAGAAATGTAAATTAATTCTAAAACCCTTTGGGAAAATTAAATTGTTACTCATTAAAAGGTTTTTCAATATAGAAAGACAAGACTTAAACTGCCAGTTTTTGAAACATTATAAATTTCCAATAATTCTAGACAAACCTCATCTAAATCCATGAAACAGATCAGAAAGCCCAAGCCAGTGAATATTTTAGTGCACTAAACATGGCACTTCCTAGCAGTAGAAAAAGATGGTCACATTAAAACTCGGAGAAGTGTGATGGAGAGATGGATGGTTTGGCAGTTAAGGGCACTGGCTGCTCTTCCAGAGGACCCAGGTTCAATGCCCAGCACCCACATGGCAGCTCACAACTGTCTGTAACTCCAAGATCTGACACCTTCACACAGACATACATGCAGGCAAAACACCAATGCACATAAAATAAAAATAATTAATAAAAAGAGCTTTTTATAAATTCAGAAAAGCACCAGGTGTACAAAGGGCTCAGCAGGTGGGCAGCCTGGGCAGGGTTGACCACCAGTCCTGTCGTGTGCAGCACAGTGACCCTCAGTGAGCTGGTGCCCTGAACTGTACAGCAAGCACCTACTTCACAGAACCGCAGAGAGGGTTATCAGTTACAACTGGCAGTGCTCAGAACAGTGACTATGTGGCTAAGAACTATGTGGGGACAGTAAACAAATAATCGCTGACAGTGCCTCACTCTTTAAAACAAATGCACTTGGATCAGAGAGCCTTCCCGATTACCAACTTTTAAATCATTAAGTATGGGTTTTTTTAACTGAGGAGTAAAAAGTATACTAACGTAGTAGATAAAAAATGAACTATTTACCTTAACTGTGGGTTGAGGAAGACCTAACTCTAAAAGCAGACACAACAACCAAAGAAAACAGACTGGCAATTTGACTATATAAAGGTTAGTCTGGGGGGCTGGAGAGATGGCTCAGAGGTTAAGAGCACTGACTGCTCTTCCAGCGTTCAATCCCCAGCAACCACAGGGTGGCTCACAACCATCTGTAATGAGACCTGGTGCCCTCTTCTGGTGTGCAAGCATGCATGCAGATAACTGTATACATAATAAATAAAAGCTTAAAAAAAAAAAAGGTTAATCTGTATATTATGAACTAATAGAATCTTCAGAAGATACATCCCTACAAATCAGTAAAAAGGATTATGAGTCAAGCCACCAAGACAAAACCAAAAACCAACTACCTTTGTTCATATGAGAAAATTGTTGGCAAAAAAAAATGAAAACAAATTATTTTTCAGACACACTGGCCACGATTTTCAGAAATCCCATTGCTGAAAAGAGGCAGAGCCAATGTCACATGTATGTTTAGACTACTGGGCATTCACCCCTCTGAAAGGCCCTTCAAATACCAACTCCTCTGACCTAGCTAGGCCTCTTCTAGGACAGAAGAGTGGAGAGGCTTTGCTTCCATCTTTTACGAATGAACCAAAATCAATGCAAACAAGATGTGAAATACACTAAATTTCAACTATAAAGCTAAAATTTCACCTAAAGAAGATAAACGTTCACCTTCTACAAACTCCACATTTGTTAGGGATTTTTAATATTACTAAATTAAAAAAAAATTGAGACAAACCTTTTAACAGCTTCCTTCTTCGGAATATCTATAATATCCCACCATTTTGAAAGGTAAGAGATCTCAGACCACATAAACTTCCTGCTTGAGTCTTCTTTCAGCTTTAGGACCATGTTATTAAAAATATACTGAGTCTTGTCTCTAAAGTAGTCATTGAAAGTCTTCAACCAACCTAAATCAAGACACAAATACACCACAAAGGTCCAATTGATATGGCTGATTTCAACTTAGTCACATTCCACCAAATTACTATTGGATACCCTTAACTCTTTCAAATACAGCCCACATTTTAAAAGCTAACAGTGTGTTTGATTAATGAAATCCTCTTTTTGGTCAACAGGGAAATAAAAACCCACTGTCACTGAAATGATTAAATAGTCACAAAAATCCTGACAGAAATGAAAACAATGAACCAAGGCTTTTAAAATGCAGTTATTTATATTTAACCATTAATGCAATTACTTATTTCTAGGTACAGATTTTTTTTTTTACCCTAGATTTAAAAAGTCTAAATAGTACTATCAAGTATTCTCATAATTTGGGATCAAAATTGTACCCTCATAACATCTGAAATCCCCACCAATCCACTATGTTAAAACTGAAACAGCAAGGCAAATCCAAACTGGACCCTAACACTCCCAGCAAAGCCTAGAGTGATTACAGAGCCCAAATGCATCCTGAGCATCGCATTCTGCCAAAGACAGGGCATTTTCGCCCATCATGTAATTGTCTGGGAGCACAAAGGAACACTAACTAAACAACAAATGTGAATGTGTTAATGTCCCCCCACCCCCGAGAGAGAACTGGGTTCCCTAATTTATCCTACTACTCCCCAAATATCTTGAAAATTGTTCTCCTAAATAATGACACTCGGGGTATAGGAAACATTCTGAACAAGACTCTCAAGTCAAGTCCAGGTCTACCAAATGGATGATAAAATGGCAAAGGCGACAAACCCCGTGGCCACCAATCAAACAGACTGGTGACAGACACAGAGGATCCTATGGAGGATGACTTGTTCTCAGGTATAAAATCTTAAAGGGAGGAGAGCTATGACTTCCAAGCTGAACTACTATTCAACTGTTACCAAAATTCACACATTCAAGAGAACTGAAGGGTAGATAGAGTCTGAACAGAACTTCTGTTTGCCTATGGTTAACTTAACACTCCGCCTCTATTGCATTAGCTAGTGGGGAAAAAAAGAAAAACCTTGATGGGTAAGTGCATAAAATATGCTTGTTTTAGCAGTGTATTCTGAAACAGATGCTTCTGGAAAGGGTAGTACAGCTCTGACAATCTCTCCCAGTTGCTGGGCACCTGCAATATTCGAGTGTGTCACTAGGAGCCAAACAGGAATACAATGTCAAACTTTTTTTCTAACACTTTCTCAATCTAGGGCACATACGAGCTGATTTGTCATCAAAGAATGCTTTCTGGATGATTTAACTTTCCCATGGTAGACTAAAAAGCCTTTGCCTTCAGCAAACTCTAAGATGTCTTGTGGAGGAGCAGTGTGCAAGGAACCCCTTCGTGTTTCAGCAGGCACTAACCCCAAGCCCTGCATCAGACTCGGCACCTGGACCTGTATCAAGAGTCCCAGAAGGGAGCAAAGAAACAGCTGTCTACCCTTAAGTGAGGAAGTCCATCCTCATGCTTGAGTTTGAGGATGCGAGTTCTCGGGACTCAGCTTGGAAGATGGAACGCCGAAGCTGACAGATAGCAGAGTAGGTGGTATTCTTTTTTCCTATCAACAGCCTGGCATCCAACTTTCCCATTTGTACTGTCCAAAGAGGGAAAGGCAACATTTAAAGAGGCACTTCTGCATCAGGCAAAATCCTAGCTCCCCCTGCCTCAGGAGGGAACTGTATTGGAGACAAGGCCTTTAAACGGTTAATTAAGGTAAAATAACGTAAGGAAGGGAGATCTTAATCTTAAACAGTATCAGGACCCAGGCACAGGCAGAGAACCTGGCAGTGCAGGTGAAAAGGAAGGTCATTAAAGCCAAAGCCAAGGAGAGAGACCAAAAAGCCTTCCAGGCTCTAGGCGGACAAGCTGAAGCCGTTAGTCTGCGGTGTTCTGTTACAGAGGCTGGGAGGCTAATGCAGCCTCAGAACTAATAACGTCACCGCTTTTCAAAAACTAAAGATGACAATATTGATTTATCAGCTCTCATCATAATGTTGGATTTACTATTCTCTATCTACCTACACAGCACAGACAAAGCTGAATTCACAGATGTAAAAGCAAATGAACTTCTATGCCATGATAGTGTGTGTGCAGAACAAGAACAGCTAAAACTCCCTGAAGGGCTCAACTACAATTATCATCTTACCTGAGTTTTCGCAAAGGTCAATCACTTGCCTATGAACAAAACTGAAGAACTCTGAGCAGAGTAAAGCCTCCAAAATTAATTAAAAAAAATAAAAACAACCAAAAAAAAAAAAAAAAAAAACCTCCCATAATCTAGCATAATGGACAAATAAGAAGGACTACTTTTCATCAATAGGTGACTTTTGAAAAGCACGACTGTATTTCCAACAACTGAAACTTGTTACTATTGAGATCGTTGCATTCCAAAGACAGTTTCCACAAGAGTTTTCATAAAGAAACTACGGTGACTGATTCATCCAATCCGTCTTCAACTTTTCATTTGGCCTTCAACAATCAGGCAGAAAATATGTCAAAGATATTTACGTGAGGCAAAATACAACTCAGAGACATCAACTTAAAAGCCTTCCATAAAACTCATCTATAATTGATACTAATACTGCTACAATATAGCATAATTAATGAATAAAGAACTGAGAGAGTTTCTTGCAGCTTTCAATATTGAGTAATATAACAGTAAATTAGCTTTTATTACTCTTATACAATAGACTAATCAAGTATTCCCTTTTACTCTGAATTGGTTCTTTCTTCCTCTAAATTACTGTAAAAACTACAATTGCATATTAACGTGAGACCAATCAGAAAGATAATTTTTATGCAAAGCTGCATGAGATGAATTTTTGTGATGTGTAATTATGTTCCCACCTCTAGATTTAATAATCTGAGGACTCTGGGTTGCAAGCTGATTTACCTGAGTGGTCAGTCACTAGGAAAGTGAACCAGGACTAAAGCTACACTAAGAATACACCCCCTTTAATCCGTTTTCCCTCTAACAATGCTATCACCCATATAAGAACTAACAGCTATTTTAGATAAGTTAGAAAGAAACTAAATGAGTGAGAAATTAGCTGTATGAAAAGGTATAAAATCCCAATTCAAGCCACTATTTTTAAGTTCTAAAATTTAAAGATAAATCTAACAAAGTTGAAAATCCAGTTGTCTATTTTTTTACGTGCAATTAAGCAACCTAGTACCTAATCACTGGCAAATCAGGCTTTGTATTTTTGTATTTTAAACTCTGGATCATAGCTTGGAAGCCTAGAGATCCAATCCTCTTAAAGGACACTTCCATTTATACACAGTACTACCCTTCCTCCCCCGCCACAAGCCACCCCACCACTCACAACCTGGGCAAAAGTTGCCTGGCCAGAAAATAGGGCTTCAGAAATACTTCCTCATTATTCCATCAATCACACCCCTTTCCACAATAGTACCCTAAGGCAAAGAATTTGCCCACTCAGTGTGAACTGCCCACTAAAGCCCACAGCCTACATATCAGAGTCCAACAGCCACAAGTTGACTTTCACTCCTGCCAGGTCCCTTTTGTAAGTCCATTCTCGTTAAGACACTCAGCTCTACAGCAGGACCTTCTGAGAGGCACCCTTGCACAGCGAGTAGACAGTACTATACTGTCACGCTCAGCTCTTATGGGATGGGGACACGCCCAGATCTGGGAGGAAAGAGAGTCTGGCCACCCTGCAGGTTTTCTCTTCCCAAATACATCATGGCCAAATATGCCAGGCTATTTCCAAGAGAAACGGCAGCCTGAGAAGTCTCCACCCACATTCCATCCAGCTACTCCTGGGCTACTTCTATTTCTTCAGCTGAGCGGAGGCCCTCCTTGTCTCCTCTGCCCTCATGCCCTCTCCTCATCTCTCCGCATGCTATTTCTTTGATTTTTAACTTTTAAATGTTTAGGAAAAAGAGAATGTGGGCCTTTATGTATTTTGGCCCCAGTTCCTGAAAAGTTCAGAAGCAGGGCTGGGCATCCACAACTACAACTTCAAACCAACCGAGTCTCGCGAATCTAAGAGTGCGTGAGTATGTGTGTGACGGATGAATAAAACATAAAGCGCATGGGTTACACATGACCACGTACTCAACTAGAACGAAACCAAACGCACCACTTACCACAGTCAACTTGAATATGTCTGCTACCCTGATCACTACCCAGCATGCCCAAGCTGCTCCACTAGTTAGTTATATTCTAAAAGTTTCTAGTAAGTCAGGTGTAGTGGCGCACACCTTTAATCCCAGCACTCTGGCAACAAAGGCAGGATGATCTCTGTGATTTCAAATCAGCCTGGTCTACATAGTGAGTTTCAGAATAGCCAGGGCTACACAGAGAGACCCTATATCTAAGGCTGGGGGAGGGGACACCTCTAGTAGGCTTATACATTCCAAAAAACAGGAGCCTCTCTCAATAGCATTGTTACATTGTGAGGGTCACAGCTGCTATAATCATTTTTAAATATAACATTACTTGCACTCAAAAGTTAAATAATCACTAACTTTTAGGAATTCATGGAAAGATTTTGAGTTGAAAGTTATAGTCAGGTAAATGACATACTGGTGATCACATAAAAAAAACAGCGACTTAAACTTGGAGTTATTCCCACTGTATTGTAACAGTATCCTCGAATTTAAAAAATAAATACAAAGGGAGTTTACAGCTTAAAAGAAACCTTAGTTTAGTAATCAAGTTATTCTCCATCAACAAATGATCAACAAGTTTCTCCCATCACTTGTTAATCCTTCAGTATCAAACTGCAACATCCAACCTTGTACTTAAGGGACAGCATATAATCTTAATTGTTATTACCATTATTTGATTGGCTACTGATTAATTTTAATTCCAATGTTTCTATTATAAATTAGGCTCTTCTGTCCCCCTAATAAACTGGAGGAGCTTTAATTAACATTCCGGTTTACTCATTCAAACATGTATTGGGTATCTAACAAGGGCTAAGTAAGTAATAAGGTAATGCTAAATGAAAACAGATT